AACCGTCTGACCACAGACACATACAGTTTATAGCTCACCTCCTTCTCCCCTCAGCTGCTGCTGCTAAAATCCAGTAAATTCAGCTGTTGCACACACTTGTTTCTCTGTGTTAATTTAAAACTTCATCACACACAGTTTTCCCTCTTTGTATCCCTCCCATCTCCTCTGATGTGCTCTCCAGCTCATAGCCGCATTTAACCCTTTCTGCCCCGCTGCACTCCCTCCCTTCTGTTTTTAAACGCCCCTCCGCTTTGCCCCAGTTCTTTTTTTTGTCTTCATATGAACCACCGGTTCAAAACCCGCCCTGCTTTCGACTCTAATGTTGCATTCACGTCACTTCAGGTGAATTTCATAATTTTCTGTCATTTCTCTCTGACACTTGAAAGCATCTTGTGTTATTTAAAATTTTTTTTTTTTTTTACTATTTATTTGGTATCTGCTATTCATCCCATGCAATATGTGCAGTAAAGCAGTTCTCATCCTAATCTGGTTAATGATAACATTCCCTCATTTTAAAAACATGCATGCAGGCTTTACTATGTAGATCACTGAGTAGCGCAGATCTGTTTTCTAGCCTCTACTCTGCAGGGTTTGTGTGGTGTTAATCCCGCTCAGTGTCTCTCTGTGATCTACCGAGGCCTCGTGTTCGTACCAAAGCTATAAAACTAAGAACTAAAAACACTGAACGCCTTTTTCCTGGAACTGCAGAAGAGAAACCACAGAGCCGCTGAAGTCAAGAGGAAGGAGGTGTGTTTAACTGCTGTGATGAAACAAAGAAACACCTTAATCACACAACAGTGTGCAGAAGAATGGGACACGCATCGCTTCTGTGGCTGCTCTGTAAGTACGGCCTGTGCTGAATGTAAAATGTGTAAATGTTGATCTTGTTGGAGAGCAGTGGATCTGTGACACAGATGTTTGCAGCTACAGGGAGGAATGGATTAACAACTGGATTCCACTTTAATTATATCCGTGGTTAATCCACTTTACTGAGCTGGAACAGCTGCGTCTTCTCTTTAACTGAAGGTTTCACCAAATTCAAGCTTTTACTTGTTTAAACTCTTAAAGTTCAGATTTTTGCTGCAGACAAACCACAGCAGGGTTTAGACATCTACTTCACCGTCTCCTGCAAATCATGCTGTTATCTTAGTCTTGTCCTTTTTACCAATCTTACTGATGGTTACTGGTCATACATGTGCTCTGTGGTCACAGGTCTTGGTAAGCATAATTTTGTGGTGAAAGCTGCATTTTTAAGCAAAGGCTCCCCTCGTTTAAATCTGTGTGTATCTACGTTGCAAAGAGTGGCACCTGCCAAGCCTTTAAATATATGAACTCAATTTATTGTCATTTGTTGTATTTTCAGTCCAGGTTTCATGTTCAAATTAATTTTAGCTGGAAGTCACCAGTTTAAGTTGAGTGATTTGACTTTTTTTTTCTTCCAAATTTCAGATTGCGGCTTACTTCTCTTCTCGGTGCTGAGCTGCATAACTTATGGAGGTGAGTGAACTCATAATTTGGCATCCAAGAGATGTTAAATGTATCAAAGTTTTTCTTCACAGAAAATAGATTTGACAT